ATAATTATTTATTATAATTATAAATATAATATTTATATTATATATATTTTATATTATATATGGGTATAGTCTATGTACATATAAACATGTTTGTGTGTGCTGCCGTGGCGGCTTATATCCTCACAAGGGGTGTAGTTTGTTAACTGCCTCGTCCTCATGAGTCCTCTGCAGGTCCAGCTGGATTTTCTTCATCAGAGGAACACAGTAAGCCTGAGCGATGTCCAGTTTCTCTGCTTTGCTGATGCCATACTCCTGATATAGAGGATATGAAAGAGAAAAAAGGCCATTCAAACACTTCCACTTCTTTTTAATCCACTTATTCATGGTCATGAGGAGAGGCTTATCTTAGCATATTTTGGGGCAGAAAGCCAGGAAACACTGTCACTATCCCGCATCACAGGAACACAGAAGTGATGCATTCATGCACATTTTAATATAAAGTTCTTTTAATTATTTTATATTAAGGGCTCAGAGCTTTTCTGTGATTTTGCAAAATATGCTGTATCACTTGAAAAATAAACTGATGTAGTCTTTCATAGTGTTTTTATTGCATACTTTGTAGAGTATTTATATTTTCACTGCAGAGTCTGACGACTTGTTTTGGTGAAGCACTTTAATCTTGCTACAGGAATCAATAAAGACTTAATGGTCAAATGGATCATAGTTGGTTTTACAACCACCATTAAATGCGACAAATGTGTGAAACCATCAGCAAAATGCTTTCTGGTACAATTCTTTAAACTGACCCATTAGTTAACATTCCCAGACTCCTCCAGATGATTTAAATACATAATTTAAAAGGTTTTTCCTTTCTGTTATATAACTCTGAATTTAACAAAATAATTCAGTAGTAATGTTAATTTGTGTTAAGTTAAAAGCATGCTATCTTCCACAACTATGACTATAACAGACAGAGCCAGATAAAACCTGAAATGTGTTACAAAGCTAAATGACATGTTCTCCTTTAACCTGTGGTATGACTATGTCGGCCAGGGCACGGGACAGTCTGAACAGCTCCAGCGTGTCCTCCAGCCCGACCGAGGCGTTGTGCTGCGAGTCGTATTTGATGCAGTCGTAGATGTCTGGAATCTTGCTGATGTCGTAGCGGCCATTCTTCATGCGAAAGTCTCTCTCCAGTTTGGACCAGCGCTGCAGCATCAGCTCCAACGTCTCGCTGTGGTAAAGCTGCAGGTCTGCAGAAAAAGCACAGAATGACTCATCTCATGATCTTTAACACAGTGTAAATTTAAACAGGTAAATGTCTCTGAAAATATAGTTGACATTTCAGTACATTGACACATTTGAACCTTTCTAAATTATGTCTGATTAATGCAGAGAAAAGATTATAGACTAAACCAAATATCTCTGCTTTAACAGAGTAAAACATTTTGATCGTTTGTTCTCAAAATGCAGCTGATTATTTTCTCTTCTGTACACAGGTATGGCAGGTTCACACTACCGGCAGACTTGGGGTCCTCCAGTCTCTTACGGATCTGTGAGTTGAGACTCTGGATAAGGGCGTAGACCTTGTCACAGGTTTTGACTGGATTCTGTATGACCTTCATCGAGTTCACCAGCGATGGGCTGCCAGTTGAGGCCAACTAGGACACAATAGAAAAACAGAACAGTGACTTGTATAACAATTTATTCACATCTTTGGAAAAGTTTAAATATTTAAAGAATTAACACTTGAGAATCACGTCCAACTGTTTAAAATAAACACATGGAAGCTTACCAACAAGGAAAAAAAAAAAAAAAACATTGAACAAAACACCTTATCAAATCAAGACAATTGTTCAATTGTTGTGTTGTTCACCTTTTGATAGTCGTCCTGTGTAAACTCCTGGCCTTTCTGCATGGTTTCATGCAGCCTGGCCTTCACCTTCTGCTGGCAGTCAGTCAGAGAGTCGCTGTCGCTGTCCAGCAGTCCGTTCATGTTGGCACTCTTCACCATCTGAACTAGGATCGGTGTCAACTCCCCTTCTAGAGCCAGCAGACCCTGCAGAGAAACCAGACAACTTGAACGGAGGTCATTGTGTGACATGTCTTCTTAATCCACATCCACATATACATGCAGAGTAAACTTCATTTGTTCCAGCTGTAGTCAAGCTGAATCAAGGTTCCTCCTAATATTTACATCAGAGAACCTAACGATTTGGAAAAAATGTATAGAACCTTCAAAGTTTCAAGCACCTTAATTGTTTTTATTCTGGATCTGGGTTTTTACAGTCATTTTGTCAAAAGTCCAGAGGCCAATCAGAACATACCTTACACTTAAGAAAGCATCCCCTAACTACAGTACAGTAAGTCCTTCTGTCACGAAAGGTGCACATGATGCAAAAGAGTCCAATTTTAGAGATATTCTGTCCCTGAGATCTGTCAGACATTTTCAGTTAAGTGTTTTAAGTGGCCTCAGGTATACATCAGGTATACATCAGGTATAGTCTTTCAGGTACGGAGGTTTAGTTACCTTTGCAAAAGCAGCGGCTGTCATCTGAACCCTGCCTTCATCAGAGGCATAAATCTTCAGGTCGTGGCGATAAGTGCTGTGCAGGCGCAGGAGGCCACAGCCTGGAAACCCAGCGTAGTCACCTGGAAGATTGTACACAGAATGGGGCATTGTGGTTAACTGGCCTGGTTACAGCATTGAGATATAATATACAATAGTTTCCTCAATTAAGCGGCTGAGTAGGGGAGTTTGAAAAGAAAACAGAAAAAAAAAATACAACAGAGTATTGATTGTACCCAAAAGTAGAAAGAAAATAGGCACACAGGCCTGTGCAGGTGTAACACCACTTTCAGTTCAAATGCATTGTCCTTAAAATGCTTTTTAAGCTTTTGACAGGGCTCATTTGACTTTAATGCGAACTGAAATGGTGTGGTTTAAGCTATGAATAAAATGAAGTGAAAGTGAAGTGAACTGATGTATAGTAATCCCCAAAATTACTGCTGACAGCTTCCCTCAAATACTTTAGATTACCTACCTAAAGAGACAATAAAAGTCTTAACATGCTAAATATAGTGAAATTAATGTAGCTGTAGGAGGTGGCTACATAGCAACGACACAGATCAAATCACACCGATGCTTCATGCATTTTTATTTAGTGTACAGCAAAATAGCCTGAAGTTACACTATTGACTACGTTGGGTTATCATGCCTCATTTGACTAGAAAGATCTGTGCTGTTTTAGGCTCTAATCCAAGCTAAAGTAGACTGACTTTTTTTTTAATCAAACAAACAACATCCCAAGAACTTATGGGAAACAATGCGGTAGGATTAGTGCGAGATGATCCGTGTTAGCTTACAACACAAAACTGCAGTCACTTTAGCTGCCTGTGTATGTATGGGCAAGTGACCAAAATAACATTTACTGTGGAGGATCACCTTGGGACGGGAGCACATCAATGACTCAAACAATCCACAGCAATCTCAATGTAGGACAAACCGGACACGTTGCCAGGTAAAATGAAACAAAATCATGATGAGGTGAGATGAGAGGAGAGATCAGAGCGCATTAGTGGACGGAGCGACAAATGTGTAGAATGAGAGAGGAGGGGAGGAGCAGTGATATCCAGGAAACCCTTCTCTTACCAAAGTCAATAGGGGATTCGCAGCCAAGGGACCGGCGGTTACCGGCTAGTAGTTACACAGTGCAACAACAGGTAAGAGGAGAAGAGCAGAAGAGTTAATAGAAAAAAAACTTGTGGAGAAAGAAGAATGAAAAACAATGGCTAGGGTGAGAAAATAGTCTTCTTTTAATAAAAAAAGAAGTAAGAAAGGGACAGACTGCATCTACTTTCAGTTCTGCTTCAGGTTGTTTGTCCTTTGCAGATTGGGAGTTGTTTCGCATGCACTGTAACACAAAGCATTACGGAGGAAAGTCTGAAAAAGCTCTGCGAAGTGCTCGAGAACAGAGAGAAAGAAACCTTTATGTAACAGGCAGGTTGGTCCACTCACTCACTGTATTTTATTTGGGTTAAGTGTCCGTGTTACAGGTGGTGTGTGTGTTGGTGTGTGTAACTCCACACTGAATTCTGCATGGAGGAAAAGGAACGCTACATTTCTTGTCTCGTGCACTTTGAACAACACCCAGTATGTTCGGGTGTGATCAGCGGAGCTCGATTCCTCACCCAACTGTGATGTAGTGTTGCACAATTGTCTACTGTGGAGTACTGTAATGCAGAGGGTGTGGACAACATGTAGCAAGCAGTATTTTCCACCTGGGTATAGTTACTCTTTTAAATATCATTATGCAATGAAAATAAACACTGTAAAAAAAAAAAAAATATATATATATATATATATATAGTATAATAGCAGTAGCAGCTATTCCATGACTAATCTTTATTTAAATCTTGATCTTACCAATAATTTTTCCATTTAGAAGAAATTAAGGTTTAAAAAAAGCACATATTTAGCAATACGTTGTTTACATGATTGAAAGGTCTTCAACACTCAGCTGCTACGTGGTCACCTCACCTCACTTCCATCCAGGCTCCACCTAGTTTACCATTTCTAGTCAAGACAGGCTTTAATACTCCCTCTGTAACCTATGTGCGGCCACATCTGTGTTTGTCTACAGTCATTGTGCTTTAGTTATGAAAAAAAACAAAAACAATCAGACTTTCACCAACACCATCTATTGTAGTGACAAACTATCAGCAGCCTCTTCCTTTTTTATTCTGTATAGTAATCCAAAAGAGTCCCCTTGAAATCCATCATGGAGGCACAAAATCTAAAATGAATTACACTGAGCTGGTGTGGTTGGTAAGGTAATGATTCTAAAGCTTTAATGACTAAAATCAAAATCTAAAACATCACATCTGTGAAAGCAAATAATGACTGGTTGACTCTGAAATGATCCTCTCCACCATGACCTTCTTTGAAATGTTGTATGTCAGCTGTGTCAGTGCTCTGAGTGACTGAACAGAAAAACTGGAAATAAACATTTATGAGCAAAAGTTACACACGGGAGAACAGACTTTTTCACTGTGCTTAATAAAAGTGACCATTGAGGATGTTTGTGAATTTGTAAAAGTCAGTGTGAGTTTTTCCTTATAGGCGTGTGTCTGTAGGTATGCATCTGAACACAAAACTCCAAGTAATGGAATTTTGAGGGATGAATCTGACACAGGGTTAGGGTTAGTCAGGGAATTTAATTCATTACTTGAGGAAACTATATGGGAATTGTATTAGTCATTCACAAGAACTACTGGCATTTTCACAAGGTAATACCAGAATGTGTTGAACTTGTAATCTATAACATGTTTTTGCATTGAATGATGGTTTTAAACTCGTTTTAAGGAGCAGTGTGTAGGATTTAGTGCCGTCTAGGGGCAAAGCTGCAGATTGCAATTTGAATACAACTTTGCCCTGTGTGTAGGAAAAACTATGGTGGCCGTAAAACTTGCAAAAAAAAGGCCCTATTTAGAGCCAGGGTTTGGTTTGTCCGCTCTAGGAAGAACTTGATTTATACATAATAATCAAAGTCAAAGAAGAAGGATCCATTCTAAGTACATCTGTTAGCTAATGTGAGTGAGTGTCTAATGGTTACCTTGACCTCCAGGGTACATGCAGCGAAAGGCCCTGCCCAGCTCCTCAGCCTGAACCCGGCCTGCAGGCGTCAGCTCCCCGCCCCACTTCAACACAAGCAGCAGAGATGGACCGTCCTTCTTACAGTCTGGAAAACAGCAGCATATCGTTATTCATACCATTCATAATTAATCTGTTTCCAAGCTTTCATTTGGGGAAATGGACAGGAAAAACGTGGATGCTGTCTATTTACCTTCAGTATTTAAAATAAAATCCTAACGGAGCACTTTGCATTTGTTAAGTGTTTCATATTTTTCTGGCTGAATCTTTAATGTTTCGCTGTTGATATGGATAAACTTAATGCATCAACAGTTTGCTTTCCTCTTATATCTCATCTTTTTTAGATTAACATCCAAAATCTGACAATTACTCACACTAGATAATTTATTTTACCAAAAGATGAATTTGAAAAGAGGAAATAAAACAAATAAAATAAAATTCAGTTTGTTTATCCAACATTCATTTACAGTAAAGTTTTATTTTGTAATTTGATTTATGTCATCTGTTTTCATGTGATCTCTACTAACCCCATACACGCACACACACACATACAATTTGTGTTTGTCTAATGTAGCTCTGTGTGTGTGACGTTTATACCTTCTTCTTCGCTTGAGGCTTTAGGTTGGCCGTTACGCAGGTAGGTCAGCTGGACTTTCCTGTTGATACCTGAGAAGTGACCGTACCTGGAGAGACAGCACGCACACACACATAGTAGACACAACAAATTTTGATATGCACATAGACAGACAGACATACAGTTAAGACACACAGATACACAGGAAGAATTTATCCCATCTTCAAATATTTTGTTTAAATATTCAACAGCACACGTCTGACTTCTATTCCATATCCATTCCAACTAAGCGCTAAAAGAAAAGACAGAAACAAGGCGACAACATTTTCAAATCTGACACACTGATCATACACACAACCGAGTGCCAGTATTAGAAAATGGTTTAATAATAACTCAGTCACTCAGCAGGTATTTTAGACCAGCAGCTTCAATGGACCTCCAAGTTTGATTTCAGTGTGTGGGCATGAGAACAAAAGAGAAAGTGTGAGTGCGTGACTGCTTTTAAAATGATCCAAGGTGAAAATAAATGTCGACTTTAATCTTGTCGGAACTTTTAAAAGTCACATGCTAACACATACAAGGAGCCTCCACTCGCCTCACGCATTGTGCTTCAGTAAGAATTTGGCACATCCTGCAGACTAATGACCACATCGTGTTCTCTAATAGGATAGACAGCTGAGCTGACGCCTCAAAAAGCCACATGATGATGGACCCTGAACCAGGATAAATGACTCTGGCAGGAGGCCAGAAAATCTGAACTGCTGTCAAAGACCCACAACTAAAACAAACACCATCACACCGCACATCAAGGTCATGTAATTCTTGGTATTTGTTTGCATCTACTGGAGTTTCAGATGGGTGTGGATTACTGCATCAATCAACACTACACTCACTCTCTCATACAGACACCTATTATTAGTCAGGGAGGCATTTTACATTTTCGCCTAATTAACTCCAGCACTCAGTTAGGAATGCATGGTACAATTCAAAAGTTAATAGCTTTCAATATATCATTAAACTTATGCGTCTGCATTTCTTGATGACTGCACATTTCATTTATACAGAAAGTGTGTTATAAGAGCAAAGGGCAGCTATAATCAATACTGTTATATTTAGAACAGATTGTATTACTACTTGTATGTGTATGGTGTCGCTCGCTGTGACGAACCAAAAACAATCAGTGTGTTATTTTCCTCAGCTCTACAGAGCTTCTACAATCTTTTTTACTTTTTAAAAAGGGTCTGATAAAACAACTGCACACTACCTGCCCAGCACCAAACAGTACACTGGTGAACATAGTGGAGTATTTAGGAGCTAAAGAGCCAGTCGGTGGAATGTGGGAACAAAAATCTTTTATTGTAGGATTAAACTAGTTAACTATATGTTTGTGTTTGTAAAGGTTGTCACAGAAGAACAGTCACTAACGCAAGATCACACTGTAGGAGTTTATCTAAAATGTGCAACACAAGCTTTTTTGAAGTGGAGAATCTTTGACTGAAGGTGGTTGTAGTTTCTGTGGACTGTATTGCAAACCTAGTCTTTTCTCCCTGGTTTTTACTTATGAAAAAATATTTTATACATATTCACTTTAGAACATAGCAATATCTTTTCTACGGATGTTTTGAAACTTGCATTTCTTGTAATTTTGATAATCTAGGACTTTCAGATTATTTGGTTGTTGCACTCATTCCAATCTCTATAAAGAACGCCAGCAAATCACTAAAATGATTGTAAATGCTGATAAAAGGCAGGAGGAAGGAAGACATTAGAAGATTTAGACTCCACTTGATATGTGGAAAGAACAGCATGCACATAAAGTAGCATAGCACACACTGATTTACACACATGGAAACACAGTGAAATCATCAAAGACATTTGACTGTGTATGTGTCCAGTGTTAATGGCTAAAATGAATGGATGTTAATGAAAATGATACACCCAGTGTACAAAACATTAGGAATACCTTCTAAATATTAATTCAAATTCCTAATCTTGCACAAGCCGTGTCTAAACTACCTTATTTACCCTGTTTATATCTCTTCATCTACAATTATAATGGGTGTAACTGATGAGGAAATCACAGCTTTCACCTATATTCATCTTGGACTGGTCTGAAAAGGTATTCCTAATATTATGTGCACACAGTCTAAGAGGACTAAGGAAAAGGAGGGTGGTAAAACCTCATCCTTTAAAGTAAGAAGTGAGAGGGTGCGTACTGAGTGTCATTCAAGCTGGATTCCCTTTTGGAGAAAAAGAAAAAGGGATGGGTGGGCAGGAGAAAAGAGAGACAGAAGAGGAAAGAAAAGATACAGCAAAGAGTTAGAGACTCAAGAGGGAGAGAGTGAATCAAGGTAAACATGTGTCTGGTGCAGTGTTGAAAGATGAAGCTAGTTGACCATGAATGACTGCTGATGAATGATGATGAAGGAAACAGGAAGATGATGACTGATGTTGTGCGTTTGTGTGTTTGTGAGAGAGTGCGTGTTTGATGTAAGACTTCACTCACATCTCCAGAACAGTCTTGAGTTGCTCCAGTTTAGATTTCTTCTCCTCGATCTCACAGTCATTGTGCTGGCCCAGTTCAACCAGCAGCAGGCGGGCGATATCCAGCACTTCCTGAAAACACAGAGGCAGTTATCCTTAATTTGACACTTATCTGTAATTTTACTTGGCAGACTAAACATACACTGGAACCTCTGCAAATGGCCTGACTGAATAACCATGTCAAACACAAGACTGACAGTGAAGATGGCAGCTTTAAAAATGTTTTACAAAAAGATGATAGAGTGACGGGATGAATGCGATGAGTGTGAGTGGATTTAGACAGCTTAGCATAAATATTTAGACAACAGAATAATGTTTTGTGCGATAATAATAATTAGCTTTAAATGTGCAAACGTAACCATATCCTCTGAAACCCTTCATTATTCTTAAAAGGATTCAGTCGTAATCTGTAAAAACACACACAAAAAACCCTGAAATAAAGAGGCAGAGGAGGGTGGGAAAAATACAGATCAAGGTATTGATTTCAGTCCCACTCACCTGAAGCTGTTTTGGCTTCTTCAGCTTTAGCTTTCCTGACTTGTAGCCTTCATACTTCTCAAACAACTCAAAGAATCTGTGCAAGAAAAAATGTCACATCAGACCAATTATTTGAAAGATATGCCGACAGAAAGAGGGAAAGACTGCTTATTGCTGGATCCAAGAAACTTACAGAGGATGTCGAACCTCCATTTTCATCTTTTGCTTTGGTGTGCGATCTCCATGACGGATGATAGCAATAACACAGCGCAGCTCCATCCTGAATAAGACGGTGGATAGCACAATTGCGGCAGAAATGTAAAAAAGTTATATCACCATCCCACCTCAACAAACATCCACTAAGTCCTCATCCAACCATGACACTTAAATGAGAGACCACAGGATACTTATTTATTATTTAATTTTGATTCTGGTTGCAATGATTAAGTTCAAAAGTACTCTCATACAATCTAATTATTATGAAAAACATTGAAGACCTTACTGATAAGTCAATTTATCAACATACTTTCTACCAGTTTTCCAGGAACCCATGAACACCATTTAAACAATATTTTATATTGTTTTATTACTTACATGGTTCCTGAGGTTGTTGGGACGATGGGGATGTCTTCAGCTTCCATTGGGATGGACCAGGGGATGTGGAACTGGGGGGCTAACTCCCTCATCACCATGTTCCTGGAGAGGCAGACAAAAGTAATAACAGATTTAAAGGTATTTAGCATTAAGAGCATTAGAGTAAAAGTAACTATTCAGCCATTCACTCTGTAGGCTCCTTGGTGTGCCAATCAGTTTTATTTTAATATTCTGATTTAAAGTTTAATTAAAGTTTGATCTGAGATATCTTACATGCAAACAAAAGAAACCTAAGATAACCTAAAAAGTCTGGACCAAACAAAGGGTTTTTGCACACTACTGTTTGCTAAGTATCACACCTTGCTAGTATCCATTACTGGAGAAAAGCTGCATTTCCTTTTTTATTCATGACATTTATGAGTCTTAAGTCGTAAAGCTTCAGTTACTTTGCCTCGAAGGAGAGGTGATAAATCAGAAACAAACTAAGATGTAAAGCTGACAACTAGATCCTCCAAGCTGTCCATAAATTACAACATGTCAGCTTCAAGGCAGAATTTACTTTTAAAAGGTACAACAAGAAAATGTTAATAAGTGCCAGAGACGAGGGGATATAAAAAACAAGAAGAAGAGAATGCTTTTTCTTCACAATCCAACTATACAATCCAGAAGAAGACATGAATATGTTTATCATAAATTACATTTATATTCATTTTATGTTCCCTGGAGGCTTTGGTTTGACAAGATTCTGGTGTCTATTATTTTCAATACTGGCTTGAAAGTATTGTACTCCAACTAAATAGATTACTCATCAAGATTGTACCGATAAACATGTGAGATTTCTGTTCTGTAAGCTTGTGGTCAAAGATAGAAATAAATTGTTATATTTCAGTGTTCTAGTGTAACTGAATCTGTTAATGGATCATTAAAGTTAGAGGTCAATGTTGTGTAAAGTGTGTAAGCTGATGCCACCTACCCCAGGACTTTGGCACAGTCGTCGTAGTACTTCATGGAGTTTTTGACGAAGCTGAAGCCGTTAACGTCACAGACGAAGGAGTGACCGTTGGCTCGGAGCAGGTCAAACCCACAAACTGTTTGCTACAATTACACACAAAACATACATTTAGACACAATGTGGAAAAAGAAAATAAAAACACACATACAGAGTCTGGAGTGATGAGGTTGTGAGTAGAAGTAAGTTTTATTATTAAAACATAAAGCCTGACATAAAGCTTGCATTCAGTCTGCACCCAATAGCTTCCCTATTTGATTAATGTTTGTTGTTGACAGCACGGTGTAATGTCAGAAGAGTGTGATGTGAATAATTCTCATGGTAATAGTTTTAGAAAAAGTGCTTCTGGCAGCTCCCATTCACAAGGATATTAAAAGTGTTGTATTTAGGTTGCACGTAAAACAATTAAATATCAACATTGTGAATATTTGGAGAAATTTTGTGTTTACGGTAATTGGTTTAAAGATATTTTCTCCCTGCTCTAAAAAGGGTTTAATGGGATGATAGCAAAATCTCAAGCAGCTAAACACAATAATGCAATGTTTGTGTTAGCTACAAATGGGCTACTGCACACAAGATGCCCAGCAGAGTTTTTGACCACTAATGGCTTGTGCAGCAATAAAAACAGACAAGACAAGATCCACAAGCCCATAAATAATGCAGTTTAAAAAAAAAAAAAAAAAAATACAGGTTTCCTGAACATCTTTTTCTTGTTTTCCTACATCCTCTACATAATGACTAAAGTTTACCTTGAAGGCAAGGCAGACCTTGCGGGCCACCAGTTTCTCCATGGCGGTTAGCATGACAGGGTAGCGGATCTCCTTTCCCTCACTGTCCCTCTCCACCTTTCCATCCAGGGCAGGAGATTTCCGGGCCTCTGCATGGGCGTAGTCTGGACCCACTGTGTAAACCTGAGGTGTCCAGAAACACCAGATAAAACACACACAGAGGCAGATAACACACAAACACAGAACGTGTCTTAGAGGAGATGATAATTTCTATATTTCACTAACTGGTCAACTGCATGAGGAATCCACATGAGCCAAGTGAACTTCAACAGTACCTTCACATCAGTACCATCTGTGGGCATGAACTCCTCGTATATGTAGGATCCAGTCTTTCGTACACTGCTTTCTGGAGAATACACACTGCTACGACTCCCTATCTACAGCAAAGAGGCAGAGAGAGAGCGACAAAGAAGAGCATTTCAAAAGGGCAAAGTCAAAGTCATTTGCATCCTGTAAATAAAAAGAGTTCTTTTTTTTCACCTCATTACCCAACCTTTCCTCCATCTGTTTCCAAATAGTACTTTGTGTTACTGATGTCACATTGTACTGTTCAACTGCACCAAAACCAAAAAGCTAACAGGTTTAACCCTGCAGCAGCCATACAACCGGTCAGTGTGACCTATTTACCTTTGATTACATTTTGTTCTTGTAAGGGATTTAAACCATGCTACAACACTGAGTCACAACCAAAAATATGAAAGGATTTTCTTAAAAAGTGATAAAACATCATATCACAATAATACTCATGGGCATGTCAGGACAGTTGGCTCTACATATTAGGCTTATAATTCTCCATGAATGGTAAAGTTTACAAGCAGTGTGACTTTTAGCAACTTCCTGAACTCTGCTTCCTTGTTGTAAGCGTCTCTGGATCAGCAGCATCTGCAAATGACAGAATCTGTTTTCCTGCGTTGCTTGGGAGACAGCTACCTTTCTGAAGAGTCTCTGGCTGCCCCCTCCAGCAGATGTTGGGTAGTAGATGTAGACATTGTGGTCCTCGGCACACACAGGTTTCTCCACGAAGGGTTTAGGGAACACCTCCCCGTTCACTTCGACATGGTCCTCCGCCTCCACCAGGTTACACTCTGCACAGGGGAAAACGTTGGTTTTAAATTCATTTTACTGGGAAATCTTTTAAAAAGAACAACGTCAATAAGCAACAGGGACGCTACAGACAAGGGAAATACACAAATAAGTTTACATACCAGTCAGCAACACTGAATGTTCACTGCAACAACAGACGACACACTCGCTGTGCCTTTCACATCCATTCATAGAATAAATAAATCCATTAAATATGTATGTACTTGATTTATCCTTTATTTAATCTACTAAGATACATCATCTAATTTCCAAAAGGCATCTGGCCAAAGAGGGAAGCAAAAACTAAATAAAAAATAACAGCATTGTAATAGTTAATTTTAAATAGTTACTATCACAATCTTCTAGGAGATAAAAACAGTGGTAGACAAACAAACTCAGCTACATTCGGGAAATTCAACTTGGGTTTCTGGTTCTAGCTGAGTGAAAAATACTAATACATTATTAAGTTACTGGTGTCCTGTATGCTGCCATA